AGATAATTCTTGGCAGGTTCTCAGAGGAAATTTACTCTACCTAATCAGGGCCAGGTATGGAGAGAAAGGGCCGAAAAGTGGTAGAAATGGGAACGTTGTCCAGACAGGGGAACAGCTCGAGGTGGCCCTCTGCAGTCCACACACGTCAGATACTGACTTGGAAAAGCGACAAGCTCCGCGGGAGACCGTCTCGCGCCTGGAGGGCCCGACCCCTAGGCCAAGGCTCATCTCTGATCTAGGAGAAGGCGGACACCCGCGAGCCATCAAAGCTAAAGGACCGACCTATAAGGGCTGCGGCGGCAAGTGCACGCCAACACAGCGGCCTCGAATACGCCGGGACCCGGGACAGGAACTGACCGCCGGCCGCTCCCAGCCTCGCTTCTGTGTAAGGCGGCAGCCGGCAGCCGGCAGCGGGCGTCAGCGACGCGCGGTCGAGCCTCCAGCCCGCCCCCTGCGCGCCTTCCTTCCCAGTGAGTGACGCGGAGGCGGCGGGGGCAACGCGCTCTGACACACTCACACGCGCGCCCCAGCCCGCCGCCTCCTCCCGCAGCCAGGCCCCGAAGATGGCGGCTCTCAAACTCCTCTCCTGCGGGCCACGACTCTGCGCCTCCGCCCGCGGCTCCGGGGGCGCCTGGTCCAAGGTAAAGCGCGGGCGAAGGGGAGGGCTACGCGCGGGAAGGACGCGAACAAAACCCCGAGCGGTGTCCGCTTTTCCTTCTCTGCCCATACCCACCCTCCCCAGCCCAGGAGCTGGCATCCGTGGTTCCCACGGTGCCCGGCCGCGCCGACGCGCCGACGTGTGCCTGGCCTCGCCGGGTCTGCGGTTGACGTTCTGCATCTCCTTCCCCGCTGGGGTGAGACGCGACAAGGAAGCGCGCCGAGCGGCCGAGAAGGGGCAGGAGGACGCCTGGCAGCGCCACCGCACCCTGCGGGGCTCGCGCGCGTCCCCCGGTCACGCGTCCCCAGCACGCGGGCAGCCTCCAGTGCTCGCCGCGCCCGCCTAAGCTTAGGAGGGGGCTCTGGCGGGCCGAGCAGGGCGAGGAATGCGCCAGTTTATGGAGGAAAAGGGGTGGAGGCAGCAGGAGGTAGATTTGCGCCCCACACGGGGGATCACGAGCATAGACGCCCCTAGAGGCCCGGAACCGGGTTAGCCACAGCTCGGCGCCAGTTCGCCTCCAAGGGGGCGGATGCTGGGCGCGGCGGGGGTGGGGTGCCGCGCCCGGTCTTCGCCTGCATGGTTGTGCCGCCCAGCGGACCAGAGCGCTCGTCTGGGCTGCTTGCCTGGCAAGCGGGGAAACCTGTTGAGGTCTGACCGTGGCTCCGCGCGGTCTGTGGGCGCGGGCGCCCCTTCTCTCGAGGTCCCTCGGATCCAGATTAGTGGCTTTCGTTACGCCTTTACTAACGACTCCCCACCGAGTGGTATCCGGAGGCACTTTTGCTGTGGATTGTTAACCGATGAGTGTTTTTGCGCTATGCACTGTCCCCGCCTGTGAGCCCACGCTCCAGCAGTATTCCTGTCCGCTTTACTAGGAGCCAAATACTAGACCAGAGCGCCAGGTTCAGGAGGGTGTTCCTACCCTGGCCACCTCAGTAACCTCGGGAGCCTCTTCCTTGGAAGGGAAAACATTTTGTTTTCCCAGCATACTGAATAATAGTTCTGAGCTTGGAAGAGTGTCTTGCACAGGGGTGCGTACTCCCGGAGGACACCTCGACCCATTGCTCTTCTCTCTTTTCCGCATCAGATATAAGAGCTGAGAACCCAGAGGGGCCCCTAAGCCCCTTTGGTAAGTGCTAGGGAATGATTCAGAACTGGACCATTTTACTCTTACATGCGGCTTAGGACGCATTGTGATAACTGCGGATAGCTTTGGATATATAAAGCATTACTAAAAGGGAATTTGACCTTCAGTCAGTTTGCTGAGGGTGCTGAGGCTGATGCAAACCAGCACACAGCTATACCCTTGGGCAAGGTCAATAACATTCTCTGTGCAGTCAGTTTCTTATTTGCCTAAGTGTAATTTACTCACTTTGAGGTTTTCCCACCTTGAGTATAATCATTTAACCATTTTTTAAGGCCAGCAGACCTCTTAGATGAAGGAGCTACAAATTAAAGGTTTTGCTGTATCTCACTGAAAGTTCAATATCAGATTGCAGACTTTCGCCTTTCAGGTTTAATTATCCTAAGTCCAACTCTTGAGTCCCAGAGTGTTTCCCCAGTTCATGGCACTTAGTAAGGTGCCCTCACTTCGCTTAAATCCTCAACTCACTTCTCTTTCTTTTCTTTTCTTTTTCTTTCTTTCTTTCTCTCTCTCTCTCTCTCTCTTTTAATTTTTTTTTTTTTTTAAGAGATGACCGGTAAGGGGATCTCAACCCTTGGCCTGGTGTTGTCAGCACCACACTCAGCCAGTGAGCAAACCGGCCATCCCTATATAGGATACAAACCCGTGGCCTTGGTGTTATCAGCACCGCACTCTACCGAGTGAGCCACGGGCCGGCCCTTCTCTTTGTTTTTTTTTTTTCCTGTTGCTCACTGGTGCAGGGATCTGAACCCCTGACCTTGGTGTTACCATGCCTCACCTCCTATTTTTGTTGAACTGTAATACCTATGTACTTGTTTAACTTTTCAAATGTCTTCTAAACCAGCTGAAAGTTTCTTGTTGGCAGGAATCATATTGTATGCCTTATTCTCTGTTTCCCTCAACATTACACACTACTCTGCAAAGAATAGACATTCAACACATGTCTAATAAGTGGATGAGAGAACCCTGCAGGCTAACTTAAGCAGTAAACTTAAGTATTACTGTAATAAAAAATTGGGAGTTTTTCTAGTAAACATACCAACAGGTAAAATGAGATAGTTATTAAAACATTTAAAAATTTTTTTTATGATAGGCAAGTCCAGTGTCTCTCAAACTTTAGCATGCTTCAGAATTACCTGGAGGCTGTATAAAATAGATTGTTGTGCCTACCCTCAGAGTTTCGAATTTAGTAGGTCCTGGGCTGATCTCCATACTTTGCATTAGTAAGTTCATGGTGATGTGATGCTGCAGGTTTGAAGATTGCACTTTCAGAGCCATTGGAATGGGCCTTGGTTAAAGTAGACTAAGGTATCTTTTTTCCTCTACAAATGCTATGGGGGAGCATTTGATATAATTTTCCATTTACCAAAGGAAATTATTAGTGGAAAAAATTATAAAACTACCATTAACACTTTACCTTCCTCTCTTCCTTCAAACTATCTTTTCCGAAGTCTGTCTCTAACCCCAGACTCTCCTGAGCTGCAGTTAGCCCTTCTGGTACAACTCTTTGGGTAATTCCACCTGGATGTCACTCAGCACTTAAAGCTCTTTCTGACCCAAAATGAACCAGCCATAAAGTGGCTTTTTCCTTTCTTGTTTGTTTTTTTCCATTATGGTTAACAGCACTAGGATCCATCCAGTGTGTAAGCTGGAAATCTTGGAGCCATCCTCTCCTTTTCTTTCTGCACCAAGCTGATCACCAAGTTTCATATGTGCACCTCTTTCTGAAATGTCCCTCCGTGCTGTCCCTGGTATTCTTTCCCAACAACCATCTATTTCCTTTTCATAGCTCCCCAATTGAATGTTACGAATGTGTTTGCATTTTTGTAATTATTTCGTGACTATTACGCTTGCTAGTTTGTAAGTTTCATCATCACGGGGACTATACCTGTGGGTTTTTTTTTTTTTTTAAGTTATTTGCTTTAACTCTGTACCCTTAGTATTTAGTATAGTTGGTACAAAATAGTTATTTTTGAACAAATGGATGAAGGAAGGAAAGAATGAGTTCCCCTGCTGCTTTCTTGATTCAGGCTTTATTTTCCAAGTTTTGACATCTCTCTGTTTCAAAAGCTTTGCCGTCCCTTCCTTATTGATGGATGAGGTTGAAACTCTGTAGTGTATTCTTTAAGGCCTTGTACACCCTGCCCCAGTCTCTCTTTCATCAGACTTATCTTCACCATCTTCCCTCTGTGGGACCTAATTCTGTAGGATGCCAACCACTGGATCTTTTTTTTTGGCAGCTGGCCAGTCCGGGGATCCGAACCCTTGACCGTGGTGTTATAATGCCGTGTATTAACTGCTGAGCTCACCGACAAGCCCTCCTCTTAATCTCTCTGTACCTTTACTCATGTAGCTTCCCAGTCTGGAATCCCCATTCCTGATTAGTATTTTAACTCCTGGCAAACTCCTCAAGCTTTCTGATCCACCAGGAAGGATGAGTCCCTCCTTCATCTGTGCTCCTTTAGAGCTTTGAGCATCCCTCCAACGTCGGATCAGAACATGTACGTTCCCTTGGAAACAGCGTGCCACTGCTGTAGAGAATTGCCTAGTGTCAGTAACCTCCCGTAAGCTCCTTGATCCTTGAGGTTTACTCATGTCACAAGCGCCTAATTGGCAGTGTTTTGTTCTGTGTTAAGGTCAAGATGATCGTTCTGCCTTTGGCAGGCTCTGGTCCACTGCTGGACAGCTAGGGCATTTCGACACACAGTACCCCCTCTTGGCGGTGACAGCATACTCCGCAAAAGTCCCTGAGTGTGCGCCTCCACCCGCGTGTTACTGCCTCTCCTTCTGACATGGTTCTCTTCACTTCTCTGCATTTGGCTTATCCTCTCCACTTCTGTTTATCAAACTCTGACACTGAAGTGGACAATATCGACCTTGCTGTGCCATGATCTATTTAACTGTAAGGTGACAAGTAAATATCACCTGGGTGTACAGTTCTGTACCATTCAGACGGGTTTATTTAAAAATAAAAAAGCAGTATGCCTTGTGGATTTTCACTGAAAGATTGTCAGAATAAATGACAGGAAAAAGGAATTTAGGTAAAAGAAGTAATGGTAGAAGTGTTTAGAAAGGAAGGAGATTTGGGGTTAGGAAGTCATGAGATAAAATTTTGGTTCAACAGTGGACTAAGACTTCAGAGGTTAAGTGTGAGAATTCAAAGTAGAGGACAGGGTGAAGTGGAGAGGATTTTATTTTATTTTATTTATTAATTTTTTTTAAAGATGACCGGTAAGGGGATCTTAACCCTTGACTTGGTGTTGTCAGCACCACGCTCAGCCAGTCAGCGAACTGGCCATCCCTATATGGGATCCGAACCCAGGACCTTGGTGTTATCAGTGTCGCGCCCGTACCGGACCGGGACCGGCAACGGAATCACAACCCTTGGTGCTGCGTCCGCACCTCGCTCAGCCAGTGAGCGGGAACCGGTCTGTATGTCGGATCCGAACCCTCGGCGGGAGCGCTGCCGCGCTCCCAAGCGCCGCACTGTAGCAGTGCGCCACCGGGCTGGCCCCTGGAGAGGATTTTAAAAGGAGAAGTACATTTAGTACAAACATTTTTGCACTGTAAGAATTTTGATTATTTCTTACTTTTGAGTGATCAGTTGTTACTATTTCCCTCTCCCAATTGTAATAGCAGAAATTAGTAACAACAATAAAATGGAATGCTGCTGAAGGTAGGAAAGTGGAAAAACAAAATGAAATACTTTATGTGAATATAAAGGAAGACCTGGGTGAAATAAATGGTTCCCAGAATAGATGTCAAGGCTGTTTGTTCACTGCTTCATTCTTTCAGGTAATCTCTGCAATCTTGAAGGTTATTTATTTATTTTGGTAGCAGCTGGTACACTGTTTTTTTCATGAAATTGTATTATGTAAAGTATAATAGATAGTCATGTTAAAATACTTTTTTGTAACATCAGTGATGCGTGTATGTGTGTATGTATGTGCGTGTATGTCTGTGTAGGGCAGAGAGTGGAGGTTAAAAATTGAAACTAAACTCCAGTACATGACAGGTTGATCTTACTGCCCTGGAGGGAATAGAGGAAAAGTTGTCTTCCCCAAAGGAAGCTACCGTCCCCTGGGTATCTTCTGTAGTCCTGGAACAGGGCTTCTATACATATTATCATCTCCTTGTAAACTTAAAATCAAGTCCCCGTTCACCACCCCTCTCGCTCCCCACAGAGACCGTGTGGTTAAGTAATTTTCTCAGGGTCATACAACTGTGGCTTTGAAACTAGGGTATTTTTGACCCTAAGTGTGGCCTATTATGTCACACTGTCTCCCAAACTAGATGGTAAGTTTTGTGAGGACAAAAACCATTGTAGTAAAAGTTAGTGTCTCAATAAATAGATATCAAATGTCAATATAACAGATAACAAATATTAACTGAAGGTATGAATAATGAAAATACCAAAGTTGAGCACCTGCAAGCTCTTCATTATCTTGAGCCCTTCTTACATTCCCTAGGAACATAGTCATTCTTATTGCTTCTAGGTTCTGGAACGTAGGAGGAGTCCCATTTTCTTTTCTGGCCTGGGGTCACTTGCTCATTTGCAGGGTGATTTGGGCAAGTTCCTTTCACTTTCTAGGCCTCAGTCTTCCCATTCAGTAGTTGTGATAGACGATTTATTTTTTCTTTCTTTTATTTTTTTTCTTTTTGTGGCTGGCTGGTTCAGGGATCAAACCCCAGATCTTGCTGCTGTTATTAGTATCATGTTCTCACCATAAGCTGACCGGCCAGCCCAGGGGTAGATGATTTCTAAAGCACTGAGTTTTGAATGATCACAAATCCAAATTACTTGGGGGGTACTTGAGAAAAATATAGACTCTTGGGCACCACCTCACTGAACTTACTGCCAAGTTCCATATATTTTAATTGAGGGTGAGGGGAGCCCTTCCCTCACTGCCAAGTGGCAGAACTTCTCCAAGTCAAGTTGGGATTCTCAAAAGGTGACCCCACTGGAAGTTCATAGTTGAGTGGGTTTTTCTGGTTAGTGTTCTCTTTCTCTCTCAAAATTCCAATAAAAGCCACTCTCCTCCAAGTCAGAGATGCTTGTCCCCTGAGCCCAGTTGAGGACTTGGAGTATTCTGCATGTTCCAGGGAAATTGGGAAATAAGATTTGTTTTTCATTGCTGTTTTCAGGATTTCTTAAAGTAATACCAAGAGATTAGCAGATAGTAGTCTTAGTGGTAAATTCTCTTTTTCCTGGCCCTTCCAGTTTCCGCTTGAAAGGCGTTTTTAGAGGAAGAAAAAAATGATAGACACTCATTTATGCTATTTCCTTGGCTACATCAGGTTGTGTCTGTCTGGGAGACTCTGTTGGGCAATGGCTGTGAGCTTACAACTGGGCTTGTTAAGGTGGCAGTGAATCAGGATTCAGATGTTACTGTCTCTACTCCCTGTCTTTTTAGGTTGAATATATAGTGAAAATAGAGGAGAAGTGATGTTGAGTATGAGTGAGTGAGTGCCCTAGAATTTGCTTTCTCATTTTATCTTATCTATATTGTGGATAAAGTATAAAGAGAGAAATAGTTTACAACTGATTGTTTATGGGTGCTCACTAGATGACTTACTTGGGACCAAATAGCACACTGTGGTAAGGTTAGCCACGCCTCCCTTGCAGATAATAGTTTGCTACTTTTCTACAGCATCCATAAACTCAAGCCCTGTAGGGAGATGAGTAGTTTTGTATGCCGTTCTTGACTTATCCCTTTAGAAGGCATTCTCTGACACCTAAGATTGGATCAGGGGCCCAACCGTGTAGGCATTTGTAGCATTGATTACATTGTACTTAATTTCCTGGAGAGCAGCAGTCATGTCTTAATACTGTGCTGGAGTAAATAGCACAAAATTTAGCACATAGTACGTTCTCAGTAAATATTTGTGAATTGAGTGGAAGATTTAGGTTACTGTCAGAAATTGATGCTTAATGACACCGTTATTATGAATTTGAATCCCAGTAAATGTATTATCTACTTTTATTCTTTTGAGTTGCCACAAATGACACAGTTAGAGGATATCAATCACAAGGGAATTCTAGTGATAATCTGTAGATAGAGTATGTCCATTTTGTTTTTAAGGATGAACCACTTAAAGCTGAGCTTTTCTAAAGAGGGAATAGTGTCATAGAAACATAAGGGTAATATGGTGGTTACCAGAGGCTGGGGGTGGGAGATTGAGGAGTTGGTCAAAGGACACAAAATTTCAGGTAGACAGGAGGAATAAGTTCAAGAGATCTATTGTGCATCATGGTGACTACAGTTAATAAGCATATATTATATACTCAAAAATTGCTAAGAGAATGGATTTTTAAGTGTTCTCACCACAAAACAATGGTGAGTACGTGAGGAAATGCATATGTTGAATAGCTTGATATAGGCATTCCATAGTATATATCTCTCCCAAAGCATCATGTTGTATGCAATGAATATATGCAATTTTTACTTGTCAATTAAAAAATGTATATAAAAAGGGGATAATGAAATTATTGTTGCATGTAGAAATCTGACCAAATTGCTGTGCATGTAAAGTAAAGCTGTATTTACAAATGATTATTCACTTAAAAATATGTTTTAATGTTTCAGCGCTGTGTCTGCTACTTTTCAACCAGTACTTGTCGCCATACCAAATTTTATACAGATCCAGTGGAAGCTGTAAAAGACATCCCTGATGGTGCAAAGGTTCTGGTTGGTGGTGAGTAATAATATTGTTTTCCTTTTTATGGTAATGTTCTTATGTTTTTAGGGAAGCAGGGTAATCACAGTGACAAAGCTGTGTAGATTAGAAATGCAATTAGTTTACTATTTAGTTATTTATTCACCATTTATTTCTGGTGTGTTTATTGTATATTATATTATCTATTATTTTATTACAGTGTCCCCTTTCTGAAAGTTTACAAGGTTTAACAATTAATATTTTACTTTTTCTTTCTTTCTGTGTTTTTCTTTTTTTTTGTCCCATCCAAGTACCAACCAGGCCTGACCCTGTTTAAGTTCCAAGATCAGATGAGATTGGGCCTGTTCAGGGTTTTATGGCCATAGACTTTTAGACTGAGAGATTTTTATTTATTTTTCCTATTATTTTGAAAACTGAATCTTCCAAGTGACAATATCTTATTAGTACCTTTGAAAAATCCCTAGTTCCTTGGGAGTTCTATTTAACTTGAAACATTTGCATTGATCTCATCAGCTCACACCTAGCCACTTCTTTTATTGCTCCTTATATTATGAGATAGAGTACACATGAGCATTTATCTGTGTTGCCCGCCCCCCCCCCCCAAGTTCTATTGCTTCTTCTTGTTTGGAATGTCTTTTAGAATCACTGCCTCACACTCATTAAACTTGCATTAAACTCACTAAACTTGATTCTTTTAAATGCGATCTAGCCTTATTTATAGGGCTGCTTTCCATTCATTCATTCACTGAACTGATAATTGAATGTCCTTTTCAAACTCAGAACTTTTTGAGGAATTGTGGACAATATAAGAAATGAGAATAATTAGATTAGGCTTCCAATACTGCAAAATCTACTCAGGCGTATAAAACAAATATGCTTGAAAAAGTAATTTGAAAAAGTAACTATATGAGAGTTGAATTATAAAATGGCACAATAATACGTATGTGGTTAAATGCAAGATAAGTAGTATGTAGCCATATAAACTGGTTGTACTTGCATTCGACTTTATATTTGTGATTCAAAGATTTGATAGTAGTATCTGGTGCTATATATATAATGGTATAAAACAATTGGATATACCTATATGACCATTTATTGAGTTGCTGACATTTCTGTGCATTTTACTTAATAGATCTAATAATGTGCTTCATTTTTTTTCTTATCTATTAAAAAGAATAACACACACGTTTACCTGAAGGAAAATTACCCTCTTCATAAATTGTTTATCTTTTGGGTTTATTACAGGTTTTGGGCTATGTGGAATTCCAGAGAATCTTATAGGAGCTTTACTAAAGACTGGAGTAAAAGGACTAACTGCAGTCAGCAACAATGCAGGGTAAATGTGCATTTTTGAAATAATTGGTTTGAAAGAAATGAGAATTTTCTTGATAATATTAGAACAGAGTTTATCAACGAAATGAAATTTTTTCCTATTTACCTGAGCAGTATGTCCAAGAATCAGAAGATAGTGTTTAAGAAGGTCAAGAGTGGAGGTTACAAACATTTTTGGTACCATCATTCATAATCATAAGTAAAGCAGACGTGCTTTATCTTATGTTAAGATATAAATAAAGACTTTATATCTTAATCTGATGTAATTTTATTTTTCTAAATTTAAAATATTTTTTAGGGCCGGCCCATGGCTCACTCGGGAGAGTGCGGTGCTGATAACACCAAGGCCCCGGGCTGATGTAATTTTATTTTTCTAAATTTAAAATATTTTTTAGGGCCGGCCCGTGGCTCACTCGGGAGAGTGCGGTGCTGATAACACCAAGGCCCCGGGTTCGGATCCCACATAGGGATGGCCGGTTCGCTCACTGGCTGAGCGTGGTGCTGACAACACCAAGTCAAGGGTTAAGATCCCCTTACCGGTCATCTGTTGAAAAAAAGAAAAAAAAAATATTTTTTAAAGTTAGATTTAATAAATCTTGCATTTTAAAATTTAAAGATGTCCTTTTATGTTCTTTATTATTCTAGACTATTATTTATAAGGCAATATGGACATCAATTTGAAATCTGTTTTAAGTTTTTTTATTTTAATTTATCAATATACAATATAGTAATATAGTTGATTTTTGTGTCCCTTTATCAATTCCTCCTTTTCCTCCCTCTCTCTCCCTCTTCCCCCGCATCAACATCATTTCTGTTCACATGTCTTAACAAAATCAAGGAGTTGTGATTTTAGTTATGCCATTACTCTAGATGATGTATAAAGGAATTTCATTAATCATAATAATGTTGCCGGTCTTGGTGGAAGATGAGATATACAGCCAGCACTTATCATAGTGGGATTGAATATCCAAATGGTCAACAATAAACCATCATTTTAATAATGGCAACTTTATTTTATTTATTTTTATTATTATTATTTTTTAAAAATTTTATTTTATTTCATCAATATACAATGTGGTTGATTATTGTGGCCAATTCCCGAAACCTCCCTCCCTCCTCCCTCTTCTTCCTTCCTCCTAACAATGTCCTTTCTGTTCGCTTGTCATATCAACCTCAAGGAATTGTAATTATTGTGTCTTCTTCCCCCCACCCCAGGTTATTTGTGTATTTATTTATTTATTTATTTATTTTTAGCTCCCACAAATAAGTGAGAACATGTGATATTTCTCTTTCTGTGCCTGACTTGTTTCACTTAATATAATTCTCTCTAGATCCATCCATGTTGTTGTAATAATGGCAATTTTAATAATGGCATGTGTTGGGCCGGCCCGTGGCTCACTCGGGAGAGTGCGGTGCTGATAACACCAAGGCCCCGGGTTCGGATCCCATATACAGATGGCCGGTTCGCTCACTGGCTGAGCGTGGTGCTGACAACACCAAGTCAAGGGTTAAGATCCCCTTACCGGTCATCTTTAAAAAAAAAATAAATAAATAAAAAAAAAATAATGGCATGTACATTAAGGCACATTTAGTTATGGTGCGAAAAGCTATTTGCACACGAAATTGTAAATCGTCAGCTCTCTTTCAGCAATGAAAGAAAGACTTTACAGGTCTATTTGAAATTCCATCAGCATTATCTTTAGTATTAAAGAGTTATAAGTGCTTTAATATATGCATTTCTCTATTAGAAATGATATGTTCCTCATTTTCAAAATAGCACATCTTCTCTTTTATATTTGTGAGCTCTTAGAGGTAAGGGACTTGTCTTAATTATTTTTTATCATTAGTGTCTGATGATAGTAGGTAAAACATACATATTTGCTGAATTTGTGAGTTGGAAAGTGTGTGGGAAGAAATACACTCTAATTATAAGCTATCTAATAGCATTTTTCAAAGTATGAAGACTGACTTTGCACCTGGTCAGACGGTAGCCTGGGCTAAGCATCTTATGCACTTCTCAGTTGCCATGCCAAGATACTTTCCTAAAAACAAAGTAAAGGCCAAATACGCAATGATTCCCAGAGCCAAGATCAACAAATACTGAGAGGTCATCTCCAAACACGGCCAAGTTCAAGTGTATAATGGCTTGAAAAGACAAACAGAGATCCATCAAAGAATGATTAGGAAAATTCCCAAGCTAATGAATGATCAACTCTAGTCTGGTTTTTAGTGTGAACTTGTAGGCTTGGAGAGAGATTCAGATATATAAAACCACAGAAAGCAAATGGACCATATCTACCGTCATGGATCATTTCATTGTTATGATTTAATTAGACAGGGCTCTAGAGGATGTTAGTGGTACTCTCATACTGGGTAACTCAGCAGTTTACCAAAGGGATCCTTTGGTCAGGGCTGAGGGAAAGCAACGTGAGTACTAAAGAACACTGGAGGTGGTAACAGAGGAGTGCTGTTACCACCAGCCCTAGGTCTGAATGGATGAGGGGAGGGAACTGTTACCAGAATCTGGAAGAAAGCTTTGTGGAGAGGGTTATCCAACATGCTGCAGCTTGTCAGGGAAAGAGCCCAAGGAATGCAAATCCTGACATCATTCTCTTCTCACCTCTCCTCCTGATGGTGCCTCCCACTGGCTGACCCCAGTCAGAAGCCAGAGAGAAAGAGAGTCCCTTGATTCAGCCTCCAGATCAGCTACCCCAGGCACAGGGCAGGCTAGAAGTTGGAGAATGGCTCCTGAGAGGCAAACAGAAAATACCTGCATAATGACTTGGTGATTTTCATTTTTATTAGAGAGGAGCTAATGAGGAAGGAGAAAGTGGAATTGAGGAATAAATTCACTTAAATGCCCAGCAAATATCTGTGTAGTTCTCTTTATGTGCTGCATATGCTTGCAGGAGCTTGGGATACAAAAGCGAACAACAAAACAGACCAAGATTCCTGCATCATGGACCTACGTTCTAGTGCGGAGAGGTTGGCAGTATGTATTGAACATAACAAATAAGTTAATTTTCCAATATGTTAGAAAGTTAAATATGCCTTGGAAAAAGAAAAAGATCAAGAAAGGGGGATCGGGAGCATGAAAGTGGAGGGGCAGGTTTCAGTAATGTAGACCTGAGAAAAGAATCGGAGGCACTGATAAAATATCAGGATTTATTTGAGACCAATATGTGTAACTGTGGCCCAGGAAAATACGACCAAGTTGCCTTGGGAAGTGTCTTCTGAAGGGCCAACAGAACTTTAGCATTTTTACAATCACAGAAAAGTGAAGAACAAAGGGGAGAAAAGAGACAATCCTTTAGTTAGCACATCAGTCTTTCTGTTGGTTACATAGCATTACATAGGTTATTGATTGGTTCTCAGTTGCATCCTAGGTATAGATCTATGAGTGAGGCTTGTGAGATACATTTTCTGCATTCCTAAGTTAATATAACTTCTTCGGGTGCTGGTAAGTCTGGTGGCAGGTTAAAAGTAGACTTGTGGTAAATGTTCTAGAATGTGTGGATGTGGCTGTTGTCTTGTTCCGGATTCCCCCAGGCTAGTAGGAATTTAGCTGACTTCAGTTAGAGCAGATTTCTGGCTTATTAGTATTCAGTGGGGTGATCAGGATGGGACTGTTAAGGTGACATTTGAGCAGACACATGAAAGAAATGAGGGAGTGAGCCATGTAGCTATCTGGGGGAAGAGTTTCCCAGGCAGGGAAAGGCCAGTGCCAAGGCCCCCAGGTGGGGTATGCCTGGTGTGTTTGAGGGAGTTAGGAGGCCGGCAGAGGTAGAGAAGTGAGCAAAAAGGAGAATGGGCGGAGGGAGGTCAGAGACATAAAAGGGCATCTGATCACACGGGGGCTTGCAGGCTGCTCTAGACACTGTTAATTTTGCTCTTGATAAATGAGCACCATTGCAGGGTTTTGAGCAGAGCAGTGCCATATTCTGACTTATATTTTATAAGGCTTCGTTGGTTGCCAAGTTGCGAGTAGATTGTAGGGGCAGGAGCCAAAGCAGGGAAGGTCACTGCAGTATCCAGGCAAGAGATGGTGCAGGGCACAGAGGAGGGAGTGAGAAATTGTCAGATTCTGGATAAATTTTGATAGTAGAGACAGGGTTTCCTGATTTGATGTGGAGTGTGTGAGAGAGAAGTTAAAGATCATTCCATTAGTTTTGTACTGAGCATCTGTGAGAATAGGGTGAGATGGGGAAGGCTGCAGGTGGAGTTGAGTTTGGGGCAATCCAGTTGTTCACCTGAAGAACTGGGAACCTAGCCATGTATTAGTTAGGAGTGGACTCAAAGAAACAAACAAACAAGCAGTCAGAAGGCACTGTGTGTGAGAGAGCATGGAGAATGGAGGGCGGGGAGGACTATGGGTGGGAAGTAGTCGTAGAAAGGGGGAAAATCTTTATGGGTCTGGAGACCTCTAGTGGACAAGTATATTGTTAATCTGCAGGGAATTCTTCCCATTTCTTGAAAGTACTCTTGAAAATACTTAGGTTATTTAGTTTTCTTTCAAAACAAATGAGAATGAATTGCGCATCTGTTTCTTTTATGCCAATAGTGGGTGGGAAATGTTATCAGATTCAGTATTTTAAGGTTGTGAAACTTTAAGGTTGACTGTTACCTGGACCACTTTGCCAAGTACAGTGTGCCGGGACTGCCTGGGGGGTAAGAGGCTTGGAGATGATACATTCTCAGAATCAGGAAGGAGTCAGTTGAGCTGGAATGGCCACGTGTGCACTGTGCATCCTCATATTCATGAGGGTTATGAGGATGCAGAGTGGAGTGAAGGTGGGAGGAAAGGCGATTGTTAGGAGAAATGTCAGTGGTTCGTCAGACAAGGTGCCATACATAACACCTTTCCAAACAAGTGGATGTCATTAAATCAATGACATTAGATTGGTTTCCCCCCAGCCCACTCTTCCACTATATTCCATTGCCAAATCCAGAATTCTGGAGTGGATCTGTATCTAGGTCAGGATGGGCAACAAGTCTTATAAAGGGATTATTTTCCCCAAATATCCCTTTATTTGTTCCTTCTTCTCCATTCCCAGTACTACTGCCTTAGTTCAGAAGCTCAAAGTTATTTGTTTGGACTATTTCAAGCCTCTTACTCAGTCTCACTGCCATTCATCTCTGAATCTCTCCATCTAATTGTTTGTTTGCTTGGGCAGCTGGTCGGTGAGGGGATCCAAACCTTTGACCTTGGTATTATAACACCTTGGCACTCTAACCAACTGAGCTAACTGGCCAGCCCTTCTCCAGTTAATTGCATGCCCTGTTACTATTCTGCTTAAAATTATCCAGAGGGTCTCCATATCATTCAGGATGAAATTCTGTGGGGCAGATCACAACCTTGCCTGCTTTCTACCTCTCCTGACTCTCTTGTGCTTTCAGTCCGTATGCCAGTCCACTCAACACCTATTGAGCTCATCTTTGCAAAGCTGCCCATCTGCCTCTTTCCCCCATCACATCCATTCCCTACTCTGTTCTCAAAAACGCATTATTTTTGCTTATGTCTGTTTAAGTGCCACCTTGTATAAGGCTTCTTTCTTCCATAGGCTTTTCTGCTCTCCTTCTCCTTTCCAACAGTTGGGTTCTCCATCCGAAGTGTTTTTATCACACTTTGTGCAGAATTCTCTTACCCCGTCTCTCCCTCTGTTGTAAATATAGGTTACATGTTTATTTTCTTGATAATCGCAGAGCTGCCCAGGGCCCAGCCATTCCTGCGGTAGAGTAATGCTCAGTCAAGCATTGTTGGATGAAGGAACTGTGCAGGTGACATAAGCTCCATAGGGGAGGAACCATTAGGGCACTAAATTAAGAAGGAGAGATCAGAAATAAAGACTTCTGTGTCTAGGAGGTACTCCAGACTTTATCACTACGTTTCTATCTTTTAAAAAACTTTATTGAAGCATCGTATAGAGTAATATAGAAAAGTGAACATATCATCAGTGTACAGTTTGGATTTCACAAACTGCACACCCATGTAACCAACACCCAGCTAAGGACAGAATGTGCAGTACCTAGAAAGCCCCATGTCATGCTCCCTTCTGGTCACTCTTCTCCACTACCAAGGCTAACCATTATCCTTATGTCTGATCTCATGCATTCCTTTCTTCTGATTTTGAACTTCTTGTAAATAATTTAGTATGTACTCTTTTGTGTCTGGCTTCTTTTGCTCAACATTTTGTCTGTGATTCATCCATTGTTGCTGCTGGTGGTAGAGCATTGCTTCTCACTGCTGTATCGTGTTCCACTGTGTGGCTACACCATCTATTTTATGGTCAATGGGCATTTGGGAGGCTCCAGTTTTTGGCCATATGAATAGTGCTGATATGAATATTCTTATACATGTCTTTTGGTGAGCATAAGTGTGCATTCCTGTAGGGTATAGGCCCAGTTGTGGAATTGCTGACTCATAGCATATGAATATGTTCAGCATTAATAGATCCTGCTAACAGTTTTTCCAAAGTGGTTGTATCGATTTACATTCCTTTCAGCACATATGAGAGTTCTGGTTGTTTCACATTCTTGCTAACACTTGGTATTTCCTTCTTTTTTATTTAGCCATTCTTTTATGTTTGTAGTGGTGTCATATTATGGTTTTCACCATTAAAAATATTTCACTTTAAAAAATAGTTTTATAGCTTAAGATCAGGTATTCTTTGTTACCTTAGAAATGTTTTCTTTCTCTAGTAGGTTTAAGTATTTTTGAAACTTTTGAGTAAAAGAGAGGGAAAAGGTGACTGAAAATGGAAAAAATATTCATCCAATTATTAACCCGTCTTGTCACATTGACTTTGCGTGAAATTCTAGGTGTATTTTGCTTTGTAAAAAAATAGAAATAGGGCTGACTGGTTAGCTCATTTGGTTAGAGCATGGTTTTGGTAAGTCCAGGGTCAAGGGTTTGGATCCCTGTACTGGCCAGCTGCCAGTATTTATTATAAACAAACAGATAAATAAATAAATAAATGAAAAAAAATAATACAAATAGAGAAGAAAGGTACCAACTTGGAGACCTTCACCTAAAGAAAAAAAAAAAAGCCAATACCGCGTGCAATATTTCTAATAATAAATTGAACTCGAACTTTAAAATAATAGAGATATTAAACCATCTTATATGTAATTTAACAGATACAGGATTATTCTTGCTATCTATAATCTTTTCCCTGGTTTGTAATTGCTGATTTATTTTTTGTTGTTCTTAAAAATGTTCAAGTGTGTACATTTTCTTGTGCAAAATATCTATAATATAGGGAAAATGTTCATAGCTCTTTATAATTTGGGTCCATATTTCAATGTTTTCAATGAGTATGCTGATCTTCTCTCTTAAATCTGAGTAAGTCCCTCTCTCCTTTTTAGAACAGAAAGAGCTTCTCCATCCATATCTTCCTTTAGAGTCATTATGATTAGGACAGCAGCATTGCTATTCATTTACAAATGCCTCCAAAGCATAGGGCAAGAACCAATCCATCACTTTGCTTGTCTTCCACCCAGACTCACTTAACTTTGGAGTGGTGGACAGAACAAAAGGTGTGGGGTAGAATTGTAGGATTGACATAAGTTTGAATATTGGCTGTGTCCCTTACCGCCTAAGATCTGGGGGGGGGAAGATACTTAAACCTTTTGGGCTTTAGTTTCCTCAACTGCAAAATCAGAAAAGAATAGCTACCTTGCAAGTTTCTTTGGGTGGTGGGGGACTGAGAGAGAATGTTGGTTAAATGCCTAACACACATATATATATGTATCACATATATATATCACATATATATGTATCACATGTATATACGTGTGTGTGTATGTATATGTGATATTAGTGTTCTATCAGAAGTCCCTTCTTTAATTATAAGGTACCTTCATTTTCTTTTTAGGGTTGACAACTTCGGCTTGGGTCTTTTACTTCAATCCAAGCAGATAAAACGCATGGTCTCTTCGTATGTGGGAGAAAATGCAGAATTTGAACGACAGTTCTTATCTGGTGAATTAGAGGTGGAGCTGACACCTCAGGTGAGATTTCTCTGCTTTTCTTTCACAATACTAAGTTTATTTTAAGATTTTACTTTTTTTCTTCCTAGGAATTTCTTTGTGCAAGAGAGGTAAGGCAGAGGGGATAGATGCTGCTTTTTCAAACTAAGGAATTCTGTTTGTAGGTCACACCTGTTGATTGCTAGAGGATTAATGTTTTCTGCTGCCATGCACTGAAAAAGGAGGTATTTATAGTAAAAATATCTAAGCTTGGCACTATAACGTATATTGTGCCAGAAGCATGCAAAAGGACTTTCTAATATGTTTGAGGATTGTCCTAAAAGTCATTTTTTTTTTTTTTTTGTCTTTTGTCTTTTTTCCGTGTCCGGCAACGGATCGCGACCCTCAGTGTTGCCCCTGTACCGGACCGGGGACCGGCAACGGGATCGCAAGCCTTGGTGTTGGTCCCGCGCCTCGCTCCGCCAGTGAGCGGGAGCCGGTCTGTATGTGGGATCCGAACCCTCGGACGGGAGCGCCGCCGCGCTTCCCAAGCGGCGCACTATCCAGTGCGCCACCGGGCCGGCCCTAAAAGTCAGTTTTTTTTTTTTTTTTGTCTTTTGTCTTTTTTCCGTGTCCGGCAACGGATCGCAACCCTCAGTGTTGCCCCTGTACCGGACCGGGGACCGGCAACGGGATCGCAAGCCTTGGTGTTGGTCCCGCGCCTCGCTCCGCCAGTGAGCGGGAGCCGGTCTGTATGTGGGATCCGAACCCTCGGACGGGAGCGCCGCCGCGCTTCCCAAGCGGCGCACTATCCAGTGCGCCACCGGGCCGGCCCTAAAAGTCAGTTTTTACGAATCATAGAATTAGAAATTTGTGGATGATCTGGTCTTGCTGAGACACTTCAGAAGAGTAAAGCCCATGGACAAAGTACGTAAGTGTTGGGGTCAGAGCCCAGTTTTCCAGGAAACTGATGTTATTACAAAGAAAGTAGTTACTACAGTTAATCTAGGAAGTTTTCACTCATTTTCTACATCATCTTCTAACTGATAAAGCCTTTGTCATAGCGAAAGGCAAACTTTTTGAAGTCATTTGAGTAAAGTAAGGGTCTACAAGCTATCTGTGTTAGTCTTCTATTTTGACATGCTCTGCCTTCATCTCTGAAACTGAGCCCACCAATTTGCTTTATTTTTGTTAGGAGAAAATATACAAACTTCACCAAGTTGGTAATAATATAATGTAGCAGAAGTTAAAAAAAAATTTCGGTAATAAAATCATGATATGTGCTTGTATACAGAGGGCATGCAAAGGAGGTTGTTCTTCCTAACTGAGGCTTCATTGTATTACAGTCACACCTGGTCACTCTGCAGCCCTGTCACCTGGGCTTATCATAGCATTGCACTATATTTGGTATCTATCCAATTTTAAAGATTTTTGCAAAAACAAAAGGTATACTGTCTTAGTCTGCTTGCGCTGCTATAACAAAATACCGTAGACTGGGTGGCTTAAACAACAGAAATTTGTTTCTCATAGTTCTAGAGCCTGGGAAGTTCAAGATCAAGGTGCCGGCCCATTCAGTTCCTGGCTTGCCCCTAGGTGGTTAACAGTAATTTATTGTATATTCTCACATAGCTAAAAGAAAGGATTTTTGAATGTTCCCAAAACAAAGAAATAAGTGTTTGAGGTGATGGATATACTAATTACCCTGCTTTGATCATTACACATTATATACATGTATCAAAATATCACAACGCACCCCAGAAATATGCATAATTATTATGTGTCAATTATAAAAAAGAATTGTAAGCCTCTGGAGAGTAGAAACCATGTCTGTCAATGTTTCTGTGCTCACATACAGAAGTGTGCTCAGTGAACTTTTTATGGAGTGTTGGTTGCTCACTGTAGGGTACACTTGCAGAGAGGATCCGTGCAGGTGGGGCTGGAGTTCCTGCGTTTTACACCAGCACAGGGTATGGAACCCTGGTACAAGAAGGAGGATCACCCATCAAATACAACAAAGATGGCAGCGTTGCCATTGCCAGTAAGCCAAGAGAGGTAAGAAGTACGCTCATCCAGATAACACCAGATGCCTCTTTCCACATGGGATTCTGGGTGGACTCATTGGGTAGAATCACCTCTGTATGAGAAAAAACATTCATTTTCATAAGTATGTTAAGTGAAATTTCTAGCTAAAACTGAGCACCTGCTAGTAGTTAATGTCACATAGAGAAGCTAGGACAAAGAAGAAAAGAAGCTGTAATCCTTGAAAGATGTACTAGTTATCTGAAGATTAGTTATCTGAACTGATTTTTTGGTAGGTTTTAACAAGTTTAGGTACATTTATAATTGCTGATTATGCTTATATGGAAAATAGAGTAGTTGTATGATATGTATGGTATTACACTCTTTATTCTCAGGCCCTTCCTAATGTGACTGAAGGGAGAAAAAAGTCAAGGAAATCATAAGTCTGTCTGAAATCTTGAAAAGCAGAAGACAGTTATGATTATATAATGAATAAAAGAAAGTTCATGTTACCACCTTTATATTTTATATCTTAAGTCACACTGCCTAACCTAGTTTTATTTTAAGTATTGGATAGGATGGGATACTTTTTTAGTAGGTGACTTTGTTCAAATATTAGAAAGAGTAAAACTCCAGATATAGGTATTTGAGATACTCAAATTTGAGATGATTTCAAAAATTACACAGGCCAATACTTACTGTATTTTTTAGTATATTTCCCATTTCTTTGTCCAGGTGGCTCAAGAGAATTAACACAGGTTGCAGAAATGCTAAGCTCATCTCTGGGGAAGTGAATGTAGTAAATCAAGGGATCTCTTATCACTTTCCTGTATCTAGGGATACTGGCTCTGTTCCCTTGTTCTGAGGGAAGATAAGGGGTTACTGAACATGCCTCTTGCTGTTCAGTGTTTGTCTCCAGCAGCGTCCTCCATCTGGAGCTTTGTCTTTCTGCTGAGAGTGACCTATATTGATTCAAAGGTTTTATTAACACATCTTTTATAATCTTCCCTTTACTACCTAATTAGATTTAAAAGTTTGCTGACAAAGTAAAAGAAAGGAGCCTAATAATTAAAATGAATCTTAGTAGTATACAACAAAGGTACCCAGAAAAATTGGGTTAACACTTTGATAGCTTGCTAGAAGTTGCAGCATTAACTCACTATGGGAAATATGATAGAGTAGAATCTTTCCTGGGTTCATTTCTGCCTGGAGTCAGGTCCATGAACCTAGTAGTTCTGTAATTTTGTTTGAATATCCCAGAAATATGACAAATAATTTCTTTTTTTTTTTTTTGTCCTTTTTGAGACCAGCCTCACCGCACTCAGCCAGTGAGTGCTGTGAGCGCACCGGTCATCCCTATATAGGATCCGAACCCGCGGCGGGGGCGCCGCTGCGCTCCCAGCGCCGCACTCTCCCGAGTGCGCCACAGGCTTGGCCCCAAATAATTTCTTGAAACAATTCTTCTTGGCTCTTTATTTACCTTGCTTATTGTAGGGACAGGAAGTAAGCAAATTCCTTAATTTAATAGTGTTTACCCTCCTCTTTGCCAGGCAGTGGTCTAAGCACTGTGGAAAAATGGATGATCTAGACCTAGTCTTCCTGCTAGTGGAGGAACTGACAGTGAATGAATAAACACGTACGTAATGTCTGTCGTGGAAATGCTGTGAGGAAAAATCAAGTAGGTTAAGGGCAAAGGGGTGATCAGTGGCCAGGCAGATGGCGTTCCAGATTGGGTGGTCAGGGAAAGCCTCCCTGAGGTGACATTTGATAGAGACCTAAATAAAGTGAGAGAATAAAGCAGGTGGAGATAAGGAGGTTGTGCTTTAGTCAGAAGGAAGAGGAAGGCTTGCTCTGTGTGTGGAACAGCAGGACAGTGAGACTGGAACAGAATACATGAGGCAGAGATGGTGCAAATGGAGACTGAGGGGAAGCAAGAGCCAGACCTACACCAAGTTTGGATTTTTCTGAGAAGTCAGTGGGGTTTTGTCAGCACCACCCTCAGCCAGTGAGCAAACCGGCCATCCCTATATAGGATCCGAACCCGTGGCCTTGGTGTTATCAGCACCACACTCTACCCGAGTGAGCCACGGTCCGGCCTGTCAATGGGGTTTTGAATAAGGGTGTGAGAGTGGTGCAATTTGAGATACATTTTGTAAAGGTCACTGTGGCTGTTGTTTGTTTGTGGGGGGCCAAGAGTAGAAGCAGCAAGAGGGATTAGGAGGCTGTTGTATTAATCTAGGTGGGAGTGGAAAGTGGCTTAGACTAAAGTGGTAACAGTGGAGTTTGTGAGAATTGGTTGGAATCAGGATATGAGTATATATTGATGGTAGAACGAGCAGGATTTGGTGACGGATTGTTGTAGAATGTAAGAGAAGAATCAAGTAGGCTGCTTATTGAGGTGGGCAAGGCATGGGAGTAATCACAGAGCTTGGTTTGGGACGTGGCCCATTTGAGAAGTACATTGGACTTCAAGAGAAGGTGCTCAGTAGGCTCTAGCTCAGGGAGAGTTTAGAGCCAGGATAGGAACTTTGGAGGCATCATCATAGAGTAATTAAACCTAGGGAACGAGATGAGTGGCTCGGCCTAAGTTAAGACAGAGAACACTTCTTTGACATTTAGAGCTTGGAAAGAGGAGAAGAAACAACAAAGAAAAATGGAAAAGAGCAAGTAGTAAGTGAAGCAGAAACTCCAGGAAGTCGGGTGATTTGAAAGACAAAATCCCTGCTGGTGTAGTGGTTAGGGGGAAATAAAGATGAGAAATTTGAGTCAAAGAGTGTGAAGAGATTGGGTGATACCAGGACTGGAATTGACCATCAGATTTGCAAAAATGGAGGTCATTAGGAAGCTTCAGGAATAGTTTTTCTGGAACGGAGGGGA